ATGGGGGAGGAGGGCCCTGCCTCCCTGGCTTTACCAGCTCTTACTGATGGTTTATACCAGGCATGCAAGACAGCCCGATACTCCACACACCTGCCCTTTGCCCAACTGCTCCATCCCCTCCTTGTGTCGTCAGTGGATTTCTCCCCTCATGCCCCTGTGGGGCAGGGCTCTGCTGTCAGCCCCATTGCATTGATGGGGAAACTGAGGCACAGAGAGACATGTGCCTGGTCTACACACAAAAGCTTTGTTGGTATGGGTTTGTTACGGGGACATGAGAGAGAACATCCCCCCCCTGTAACTGATACAGCTGCGCTGGCAGAGCCCCTGGGTAGATGCTGTTACGCTGGCAAAGCAGTCCTTTCGCCACTGTAGCTTATTTCATCTGGGGCACCAGTGCCAGCTGTGCCAAGAGAAGCTTTGGCTGGTATAAGCTGAGTGTGCGTCAGGAGGCTTTGCTGGCTCACCCGTCCCATTGTGCCAGCAAACCCTTCATGGGCCGATACTGTTTTATTGGTGTCCAAGCACGTTTGCCCCTATGGCTCTTTCTGTTCGGCCAGTGAAATAAGTGACAGCGGCAGACGCGCGTTGATGCCGGGTTTGCCCGTGGCTATGCTGGGGCTTTCGCCAGACTAGAAGCGTGGCCAAGCCCCCTCCCCCAACATTGACTTCTCCAGGGCAGAGACACACCTCTGAGAGCACCGGGAGTCTGCAGCCAAGTAAGGACCTGAACCCGGGGTGTCTTTGTCCCAGGCTGGTGCATGAAGCTCTGGGTCGCTGTCCCTCCACCACAACAGGAGTGGCACTGGCAAAGGGATTTCCCTCACTAGGGGCTCGCTACGGCTCCGCCAGGCCACTGAGCAAGTGAGGGGAAATTCTGATGGGGGATGGCATGCCTGGCAGGGCTAGCACCATGGGGACCAGGGTCAGAGCTGTTCCATAATTCGGGGGCAGTCAGGCCAGGAGGAGCATATCTAGGGTGAAGACTGCTTTCCGCTGCCCATGGTCCCTCCCTGGCACCCCAGGGGTTGGAGGTTATGGGGGGAAGTTAGCTTGAGTGTGCGGGGAACGTGTAGGGATATTAAAGAAGGTACTAACAGTGATTCCCCCAAGTGACAGTGAACCCCCCATAATTTGTCCCCCACACTTTAAAATCCAACAGTTTCACCAAGTACAAAAATCTCTTGGGTCTTCTGTTAAAACATCCTGTTATGCATCCGAAGAAGTGGGCTGTAGTCCACGAAAGCTTATCCTCTAATAAATTTGTTAGTCTCTAAGGTGCCACAAGTACTCCTGTTCTTTTTGCGGATACAGACTAACACGGCTGCTACTCTGAAACCTGTTAAAACTTGTAAAGTACTGTCTGTAGAAACCATTGATTGTATCTGTCCTGTGAAAGATACTTTATTACTATATAAAACTTACAAACAAGTTAATTGACTTTGTTCTTGAAGTGAACACTATGTTACGACCCCTGCTGTGAGCCTTATAAGCCGTTAATGGACTCTGTGTGCTTCAGGCAGTTTATTCTGTAATTGACACAATGTAAACAAACGCTATAAGCCCTTAAGTGACTTTCACTTCATTGTATCAGCAACGGCTCCTAGGAACAGACCCCCCACCCTCTGTGATTAAAGGGCCAGGAGTCTCAAATGAATTAGCACACACCCCAAAAGTGGTGGAGACAGTACATTAAAATATGGTTAAGATATGGAATGTATGTTGATGAATGCTTGATGTACATGAATGGTTAGGGAGTTGCCAGCCTAGAAAGGGAGTATCCATCTGCCAAAGAATGTGTCAAGTGGACTTACATTTACAATAAATGTGGCATCTTTGCCTTATCCCTCTTAATAAGATCCTGCTGGTTTTTATTCTATTGGTATAACAAACGCAAGGCGCCAGGGTCTGATCTCTGCCCCCTGCCCCCCATGTGTACTCCCTGGACAGGCCACAGACCTTCCCCAACTGCTTCAGCTCCCACCGCTCCTCGGACAAGAACAAGCAGCTGGAGATGCTGGCAGAGCAGATTGCCACATTGTGTGAAACCCTGAAGGAGTATCCAGCCATCTGCTACAGGAAGTGAGTGTGCCCAGGGGGAGGGATACCCGGCCATCCCTACAGGAAGTGAGTGTGCCTGGGGGAAGGGGTTATCCAGCCATCCCTACAGGAAGTGTGTATGTCCCTGGGGCAGGAGCTGTTTCTGACCCACAGGGTTTGTCTTTGCTGCAGGGACCATGAAGATAACTTCCTCCTGGCGCACGCTGTGCTGGCCAAACTCAAGGCATTCAAGGGATACGAGCCCAGCATGGGAGAGGTGAGTGAGCTGTGCCGGCCATGCCCTCGCCATGGGACAGACCCGCGGGGGGAGGGGGAGCACATGAGAAGTAGAAGGGAAGAGTGATTTAGAACTTGCTCGGAGATCCTGGCAGGTGGAGGGGTGGGGTCTAGACCCCCTTGGAGATCCTGAGGGGTTGGCAGAAAAATAGCATTCCCTGTGTGGTTGGACTAATGGCCCCAGCCCTTCTCTAACACTGGCCATGGGCAGATCTCAAAGTGCTCTACAAAGGCCAGTGTCCTTATCCCCTCTCTACAGATGGGGAAACTGAGGCCCCGACTGGGGAAGTGTGTGCCCAGCACAATCTCTCTGTTTATAAACGGGGCAGTTCAGTCACAGAACTAAGCTTCGCACACAGAGCCTCTTCCACACCTGGACACTCCTGTCTGTGTGTGCTCCTACACCCATCCCCATGGTATCGGAACCTCACTAATGAACTCAGCCTCCCAGGGGAGGCAGGGTGGCCTGTGTTACAGATGGGAAACTGAGGCATGCAGGGAGCCTGTCAGAGCAGGAATAGAACCCAGCTCTCCCAAGCCTTAGCCACAAGTCAGCCCTGGCCTGTGGGCTTCCCCCAGCTCCTGCCGTCCCTGTCCCACTCCCAGCAGAGGGGAGCTGCAAACCCACAATGCCCTGGATTCTCGCACGGGAAACCCAGTGCCTCCTGTCCCCCTAGGAGAAGCAGTGATGTAAAATCCAAGGCCTGCCCAGATCTCTCCCTCCTGTTGCTTCTGCTCTTGCTTCCAGCCTTTGCTGAGCTGCTGGGAGACTGTGTACCTGTGACCAACTGGAAATGTCTGATCTGTACTATTCTCAGGAACTGAGAGCGGTGCTGGGGAGGGCAAAGTCCTGCTCCGTGCACACCCTGCTCCTCTGAGCCCCCCCCCAGGGATATTCCTGAGGCTCTTGCCAAGCCTCTCTGTCACAGATGTAAGCATTATCCCCATGTTACTCGGGGGAAACTGAGGCATGGAGCAGCGTGCCAGGAGTAGGTGGCAGAGGCAGGAATAGGAGCCAGGACTCCTGACTGCCCAGTCCCCTTCAATAGAATCCAGACAGCACGCCCACCGCAGGGCCAGGAGTGCAGACTCAAGCCCCTGTTCTCAATACAATGCTGGCTCCATGCTGCACAATCCTGGCTGGCCAGTCCAGTGTGCCCCTGCCTTGCCAGCTGGCGCAGAACCCCAGAGTCTCTTGTAGCATGGCCTCTAGCAGTCAGATCTCCAAAGCCACTCAGCCCGCGGCCACGGTGCCATGGGGCCTTGTCTGCACTAGTCCCTCTTGCCTTGATGTTTCCCAGCCTCTGCAATGGGATGACAGCCCTGCCCAGTTCCACATGCATGGGGGGGGGGGAGGGGCAGGATGCAGCAATGATAGTGTTACAGTGGTGGGGGACAGATACTCCTCCAAGAGAGGTGCTCACCCGTCAGCCTCAACCCATTTACCCAGAGGCTGTGGAGACCTGCCAGGCGGGTGGGTGGTGGCTGGTCTTAGGTCTGGTCTATACTACCCGCCTGAATCGGCGGGTAGAAATCAACCTCTCGGGGATCGATTTATCGCGTCCCGTTGGGACGCGACAATCGATCCCCGAATTGGCGCTCTAACTCCACCAGCGGAGGTGGTAGTAAGCGCCGCCGACAAAAGCGGCAGAAGTCGATTTTGCCGCCGTCCTCACAACGGGGTAAGTCGGCTGTAATACGTCGAATTCAGCTACGCTATTCACGTAGCTGAATTTGCGTATCTTAAACCGACTCCCCGCTGTAGTGTAGATGTACCCTTATGTTCTGCTCCCGAGTGTGGCTGAAAATCGGGCCACGTACTGAGGTGGGACAGTTGGGGAAGCGTCGGGCTGTATGTCCCAGGCCCCCCTGACTGTCTGTGCTACCCAGCGAAGAGCAGATGCATCCCCTTGCCGAGGTGCTCCTGGGTGGGCTTGGGTTCCACTGGGGCTGCTGGAGCCAGTTTCAGAGCCGTCTGCCATGGGAGCGCAGGGCTGGTCTCCTATCACCACCTGTTGCGCCAAGAGGGCAGTGCATGCTGATCAGTCAGGGAGCGGGGGCTGGGCCAGCCCCCCCTCCCCCATGATGTGGGTCTGAGATGCTGACCATTTGAGGGGTCTCTGTCCAACTGGAGTGGGGAGCTAGAGCCTCATATGGGGTCCCAGCTCAGATGCAAGGTGGGGCATAGGGATAACGTTCCATTGTCCCCCTCTGGGATCTTGTATCAAAGAGTCTCTGGGCTGGTGTTGGTTAATGATAGACTAGTCAGGGCCTTCTGATGTAGTTGCCCCCCTCCCCATGCAGCATATGGAGCAGGGGCAGTCGGGGGGCTGACTTGTAAGGGGCATGCTCCCGTTGGTGGAGAGGCACAAGCAGAGAGCATGCTTGGGGGGCGGGCATTCCTATTTGCACGAGGGGCAGGTGGCCCGTCCCTGCAGGGGGCGTTGCAGCGCAGCTGGGTGGGGAGTTCTCCCTGCCAGTCAGGGCGGGACCCCAGGGCATGTCCCAGCTAGCTTGGGGGCTGTCTCTTGGCTTCCCCCTGGGGTTGGGGGCTGGGCTGCAGAGAGGGCAGGTGGTGAAGTTTGAGGCCACCTGGGCCCATTGGATTGTGCCGTGTAAGCCAGGCCAGGACCCCTCCGCCGGAGCAGGGGGTGACGGGTCTCTCTCTCCTTTGCTCCAGGGCCCCGACAAAGCCCGCTCTCAGCTGCTGATCGTGGACCGGCGCTTCGACCTGGTGTCCCCACTGCTGCACGAGCTCACCTACCAGGCCATGGCCTACGACCTACTCAGCATCGAGAACGACACCTACAAGCAGGGCCTGGCTGCCAGCAGCGGGCACCCCGCACTCCTCCTCAGGCGGGCTGGGGGGGGATGTGACCCAGGCACCGGCACTGCTCCGCAGCCCCTACACTCGGGGGAGGGGTGCCGCAGCCTGACTCCCTCTCCCCTCCCCTGCAGGTATGAGACGACGGGCATCAGCGACTCGCGGGAGAAGGAGGTGCTGCTGGACGAAGACGATGAACTCTGGGTGCAGCTATGCCACATGCACATCGCTGACGTCTCCAAGTGAGCGTGCTCAGCCCTGCCCCTGACATGCCCCTCCGTGTCCCACCCATCCTCTAGATATGCCTCTCCGTGCCCCACCCAGGGCCGGGACCCATCCCCTCCCAGACACACCACTCCGTGCCCCACCCAATGCCTAGTGCCGTGACCCGCTACACTCCCCATTCGGCACAGCCCTCCCCTCCCTGCCCACTGCCAGAACTTCCCCCCTCGGACACACCTCTCCCACCCAGTGCCAGGACAGCCAATCCCATTGACACACCCCTCCCCCTTTTTTCCAGTGCCGGGACTTCCCCCATCCTCCCCTTCAGATACACCCCTCCCCACTCTGGGGCTCCCTCGGACACACCCCTCCCCTCCCCTTCCCACCCCGTGCTGGAACCCCACTCCCCCTTGGATGCACTCCTCTCCCACCCAGTGCAGGGACCCCCCCCCCGCAACACACCTCTCTCCTGCTCAGTGACAGGACTCCCCCTCCCCCTCCCCCCCACTGCTGGGGCCCGTCCCTCAGACATGATTCTCTCTGAGTGCTGAGACTCCCTGGACCCAGCCCCTCTCCCCAAAGGACCCCTGAGCACTCCCTTCCAGAGCAACTGTCTGCATCTCCTCTTGGGGATCCCCCTGGACACTGTCTTCCCCCGATCCCAGGATCTCCCCATGCACCTCATAGCCCCCTTGAGTGAGTCCCTCACTGACCTCCTGCTGGGCCTGCCTCTGCCCTCAGCCCCCGCCCCCAGCAGGGCACCAGGAGCCCCCAGAGGTGCACTGAACGCTCTGCCTTGGGGTAACTTAGGAAGAGGCACCCCCCACCCCCACACGCCCCATCTGAGGCTGTCAAGGCAGAGAACCCTGGTGCCCGTGGGGCAAGGGCTCCATCCCCTGTAGCATAGGACAGGGTGCCCCCTACCTCTAAGGCAGTGCCTGGCTCCAGCCTGACCCCTCTCCCTGCTGCAGGAAGGTGACGGAGCTGCTGCGCACCTTCTGTGAGAGCAAGAGGCTGACCACGGACAAGGTGTGGCAGGGGCTGAGGGGGGGAGGAGAGATTGGGGAATCCAGGCCAGAGGGACAGGGGGACCCATCCCACTGCTTCTTATGGGGAGGAGAGGCTGCCCTGCTGCCTTAAGAGGGGTTGGTGTGGGGAGGGGGGGCTGTCCCATTGCTCCCAGGGTTTGCCTGTAAAGGGCTAAGAGGTGTATGTGGAGCCCCCTGCCCCCCAGCCAGAGCTCTGGAGCTCCCCACGGTGGGGGAGGGTGGAGGCCCATGGGGCAGGGTCAGACAGCAGGATCAGGGCTGCGCGTGGAGAGCTGCAGCGAGCCAACGCTGGCATCTCTCCAGCCCGCTGCCGCTTTACACCTCGAGGGTTGCTCGGTTTGCGGGGTTCCCGGCTCTTTCCAGCTGGCCTGGGAAGAGCAGGTCTAATCCAAGCCGCAGCCATGCCAGGCCTGTGCTACCCGATTTTGAACATGGCATGAGTGACCCACCCTGGCCCTGGCACACGTGGCTGGGCTGCTGCGGCTGTCCCCAGGCGAGGCCTCTGCCCTGCAGGGGGCTCCGAGCACTGGGTGGGGCCGGGATCTCACCACCACCTCCCCCCAGGCCAACATCAAGGACCTGTCTCAGATCCTGAAGAAGATGCCCGAGTACCAGAAAGAGCTGAACAAGGTAATGGGGCTGGAGCTGTTAGTGGGCGGGGTGCAGGGCATTCAGTGGGGTTGATGGGGGCACAGGGTGCTCTGTGAGGTTGGTGAGGGACAGTAGGGACTCACTGGGGGGCAGGGCACTCTGGGGGGGGGCTCTGTCCAGGTCTAGGCAGGAGTCCTGCCCCAGTGATGGGACTGCCTTACTGCCTGATGAGAGCTGCTGACCTGTCCCTTCGGGCAAAGCCATTTTCCTTCCAGGTGCCCTCCTGATCCTCCCCTCCAGCTGCCCCACTCCATCCCAGAGGTGGCTGCACATCAGTGCTGGGCAAAACAATCCCTGTATACTCGGCTTACACAGACGATTGGGGTTACTCCTTTGGCCAAGGGGCTCTCCTTGGGGGCTGGGGGGTGCGGGTGCCCTAGACCAGCTGGTGATGGGGTGCCACAGTAAACTCCCCCATGCACCGGTCTCTCCCCGCAGTACTCCACGCACCTGAACCTGGCCGAGCACTGCATGCGGCACTTCAAAGGGATGGTGGAGAAGCTGTGCAGCGTGGAGAAGGTGGGTCTGTGGGCAGAGCCTGGCTGGGGGGCAGAGTCTGGCTCATGAACTCAGCCCGGAGAGAGGGGTCTCAGACCCGCAGGCTCGCTGGAGCCAGGGCCAGCCCCCCATGCAGCACCGGGGGTGCAGAAGGGAGACATGGGGCTCGGGTTACTCCCAGGGGGCCCATTACTCACCCCAAGGGGAGCTGACCCCAGGGAGGAGGGGGCCCTGGCACAGGGGGTAGGCGAGCTGTGGTCCATGGGGCCGTCTCATCCCCCATCCCACTGTGGGGGCGGGAGGAAGCGGCGCGACCTGACCTGGGCCTTGTGTGTGCGCTCTCCTTCCCCCCAGGACCTGGCCATGGGGACGGACGTGGATGGGGAGATGATCAGGGACCCCATGAAGATCATCCTGCCCGTCCTGCTGGACCTCAGCACGCAGGCCTATGACAAGATCCGCATCATCCTGCTCTACATCTTCCTGAAGAACGGTAACGCCACAGGCCTGCAGGGGGCAGCACTGGGGGGCCTGCTTCTGCAGGGGGCGCTCCTGGAGGCGGAACCCAGGCCTGTGGGGCAATAGCACCGCTCAGACTGGCACGTCCCCCAGCCATGCAGGGCGCCTCCCAGCCAGCCATTTCCCAGGGCCTGTGTCCAGCCTGGCTCTACGGCCCTGTCTCCCCTCTGCCCACCTCTCGGTGCCTGCAAGCCAGCCAGTGCGCCGCACCCACGCTCCGCACTGCCCCCTGGGGTCGGATCTGGCGGCCTTTGCTGCCTGCTGCTGCCTTCCGAGCAGTGTCCACCCTCCACGCTCCCCCCAGCCCATTCTCTGCAGGGAGGGGAAATGGAGAGACAAACATCTGGAGCGGCCCCCCAGCCCATTCTCTGTAGGCAGGGGGGATGGAGATGCACACCCCGAGCGGCGCGCCCCCTGCCCCGGCCCGTTCTCTGCAGGCTGTTCAGATACCATGTTCTGTCTCTGAGCCCCCTGCGACCAGTTCCCTGCCCACCCCTTGTGTCATCCCTGTACCAGCTACCTGCTTCTTGCTGCATCCAGCCCCTTCCCGCAGCTCTCCAGGGCCTGGGGAACCTCCCTGACCCTGCCACTTGGCACGGTCCCTCTTCCCCCATCGGTTCCTGCCCCATGCTGGCTCGGTGGGGCAGGGCCCTGCTCCGGGGCCCTTCCTGTAACCCTGCTCAGGCACAGCCCCTGCGCCCATTGCCCAGGCCAGGGTGCCCTCATGTGGCTCCTCTGGCTGCCCAGTTTCCTGGCCAGGGGGCGCTGTGGAGTTGCCAGGCCTTCCCCTCTGCACTAAGCAGCAGTAAATGATTTTGGGGGGGCCGGAGGGGGAGAGCGCATGTTGCACCTGACTGGCCGCAGGAGGGGGAGTCCAGATTAGGGGGAGAGGGGCTCCCACTGCACTGCCAAGGGAGAGCTAGAGAGACCCCTGCCTGCAGCACCTGAGGGAACCTGTGGAGGGAGGAGCAGCAAGAACCTAAATTCGATCATTAACTATGTGGGGTCCAGCTGGTTAGAGTGGATGGTGGGAGCCAGGTCTCCTGGGTTCTAGCCTCAGCTCTGGGAGGGCAGTGGGGTCCAGTGGGATAGAGCTGGGGGGCTGGGAGCCAGGACTCTTGGGTTTACCCCCCGCTCTGAGAGGGGTGGGAAGAGCAGGATCTCAGGATTTGATCGGGGAACTAGGACTCCTGGGGCCACAGACTGAATATGCCTGGGCTGTGGGTGCATCCCAGGGGTGCTAGTGCTGACTGTCTCTCTCCATGCAGGTGTGAGCAAGGAGAACCTCACCAAGCTGATCCAGCATGCCAACATCCAGCAGCAGGGCAACATCATCAACAACATGCAGTTCCTGGGCACCTCCCTCATGCCTGAGGTAAGGGACTGGGGCCAGGAGCCAGCAGCTGTACTCATGCCAGTGGGCAGATCTGTGCTGCACAGGAAAGCCCAGGCCATCCTGGGGATGCCCCTATGGCAATCACCTACTCCCAGCACAGAGGTGACCTCTGCCCCTGTACAGTGGGGTGACGCCCTCCCCATATGAGGGTGACCCCAGGGCCGGTGCTACCATTAAGGCAAACTAGGTGGTTGCCTAGGGCGCCAAGATTTGGGGGTGCCAAAAAGCGGTGCCCCCAATTTTTTTACAGCGTTCCTGGGCTGGGCTGCCGGCGGCGCGCTGACACATGCGGCTCAGACTCCCTCTCCCAGTCCAGCGGCCGCTCCACTTCTCCCACCTCCCAGGCTTGCGGCGCCAAACAGCTGTTTGGTGCCACAAGCCTGGGAGGGGAGAAGAATTAGAGCGGGGGCAGCGTGCTTGGGCAGGAGGCGGAGCAGAGGTGAGCTGGGATGGGGAGCTGCCGCATGGCTCCCCGGGGGTGGGAGCTGCTGTGGGGGGGGCGCCTCAGGGTGGTGGGGGGGCGGGGAGCTGCCGCAGGGCGTGGGGGGGGGGCGCAAGGTGGAAGTTTCGCCTAGGGCGCGAAACTTCCTTGCACCGGCCCTGAGTGCGCAGCACCCCCCGGGAACAAGTGATGGGTTTGTAGGCAGCACTCTCTTGCCTTCAGCCTGCCCCAGGCACACTCCCCCACCATCCGGCAACTGCTCTGGGATGACTAAGCCTTCTGCTGCCAGGTGCTCTCTCATCAGGGTTTAGCTTCATAAGCCAGAGCAGGGGGTTGGCCTGGCCACCCACACAATAGTGGGCACAGACACCCCATCGATAGCCATATCATGTGAGGGGGACAAAAGTCCCTTCTTGTTCAAACAAGTAAATGCCAGATCTCTGGAATGCTCTGGCACCACGTGCCTGGCCGGTGCATCCCATGCTGTGCCCATGAATCCCCCCATGGTTGACCAAAGGCTACGTAACAAGGGAGCAGTATGCTTTCCAGCAGCCATATTCCTGTGCCCCTTGTGCTAGGCAGACAATGAGAACAGGAGTGCCAGCAAAGGCCCCTACTCCACGGGGAGTCAATAGGCAGACTGCTGGCCAAATCCGGACCGCTAGACACTTTGAATGAACCCTGAAATCTTTCTACTTACTTACTTATCATTATTGTTGTTATAATTTTTTTACATTTGCTCAAGAGTATGGACCTTGACTATACCTTGACCAAGAAATTTGGACCTTGACAAAAAATAGACTATCCCTGGCGTACATGACTTGGGAAGGCCATCTGCTCAAAACCAGCCAGTATTTCAGGACCCTTATTAATCGCCGCCACCCGAGGGCAAACCACAGGAATAATCAGCTCCAAAACCTCCATCATCACAACATCGAGGGTTGGCTTGTCACCACCAAACTGACCTGCACAGGGCCGGCTTTAGCAGGTGCAGGGCCCCACGCCAGGATGCGAATTGTCTCGCCCCCCCCCCACCGCCTCCGACCCCTCCCTGACCCATTGGATCCCTCCCCAAATCCCTGCCCTGGCCCCGCCCCATTGGATCCCTCCCCAAATCCCCGCCCTGGCCCCGCCTCTTCCCCAAGCACGCCGCATTCCTCCTCCTCACCCCTCCCTCCCAGGCTTGCGCGGAACAGCTGTATGGCGGCGCAAGCACTGGAGGGAGGGGGGAAAAGCAGGACGTGGCTTTTTTTTTTTCCCCTTTTTTTTCGCTCCGCCGGCAGCCCCGGACGTTGCAGGGCCCTCTTAGGCGCGGGACCCCATTCCGGGGAATTGGCCGAATCGGCCTAAAGCCAGCCCTGGACCTGCAGCAGTCTGGGGCGGCCAGCCTCTATATGGTAATGGCAACCCATTTCTGGACTGTTATGGCCTCCCTGTGTCCTGGGGCTCAAGGGTCAGGCAAGCTCCTCCCATGGCTCCTGGTTACTTACTTGGTGGGCTAAAAACACTTCCACACACAAGCCAAGGACAGACAAGTTCTTCCACAATACATTACAAACAGTTCAGAGAGTGGCTTGGTTTAAAAATTGCCAGTAACGGGGAATCTGCCACAATCCTTGGCTATTAAAAATGTGTGCCTTGTCTGGTTCCAAATTCCAAAGATTGGATCTTTTTAGACCTTGAATAGCCCATTATAAAATTTCTGCTTCCAAGTAGGTACTTAGAAACTATGATCAAGTCATCCCTTAACAGGGGCGGCAGGTTTGAAGAAATGTTGGTGGTGCCCAGAATGCCCAGAGCCTGCCCCCCCAAACTCTGCCCCCTCCCCCGCCTAAGGCTCTGGGAGGGAGTTTGGGTAGGGGGAGGAGGTCTGGAGTGCCGGCCCCGGGCTGGGGCAGGGAATTGGGGTGCAGGAGGGGTGCAGGGTGCTGGCTCTGGTCAGGAGTTTGGGTGCAGAAGGGGCAAGAGGTTGGGCTCTGGGATGGAGTTTGGGTGGGGGAGGGGGTCTTGGTTACAGGCTCTGGGAGGGAGTTTGGGTGCAGGGTGAGGGGTGCAGGCTCTGGGAGGGAGCTTGGGGATGGCAGGGGGTGTGGGCTCTGGAACAGAGTTTGGGTGTAGGCTCTGGGATGGGGTAAGGGGTGGGGGTGTAGGAGGGGTGAGGTGTGCAGGCTCTGGGAGGGAGTTTGTGTGCAGGCTCTGGGAGGAATGCGGAGGGGCTGGGGCACGGAGTGGGAGTGCAGGAGGGGGTGAGGGGTGCAGGCTCTGGGACAGAGTTTGGGTGCAGGCTCTGGGAGGGAGTTTGGGGACAGGCGGGGGTTTGTGGGAAAGGGGTGGGGGTGCAGTCTCTGGGAGGGGGTGGAGGGATGTGGCGCTTACCTGGGGCTCCTAGGCAGAGTGGCCGGGGGGCCTCTGCACGCTGTTACCCCCAGGCACTGCCCCCACAGCTTCCTATTGGCCGCAGGGGGGCTTGGGGCGGGAGCAGTGTGTGTAGACACAGACCCACCCCGCCCAGGGGCTGCAGGGAGGGGCCGACAGCCACGTGGAGCGAGCAGGCAGGAAGCCACTCAGCTCTGCTGTGCTGCCAGTGCTGGGTGGGGGCCCCAGGCCATTTTAAATCACCCGGGGGATGTGCGGGGCGGGGAGCGCCCAGGGGTGGAAGGTGGGACCGAGAGACCCAGCCTCAAACATTGCTGGAGCCGGGCTCCGGGCCAGGAATATTCCTGGTGCCCAGGCATCACTGGTCCATAGAACTCACCATCCATATCCTTTAACCTTCTCTTTGCTAAGCTAAATAGACAGAGTTCTTTAAGTCTCACTGTAAGGCAGGTTTTCCAATTCTTTCATCATTCTGGCAGCTCTTCTCTGAATCTCTCCAATATTTCTACATCCTCTTGAACTGTGGGCATGAGAACTGGACACAGGATTAGGGTGACCAGATCACCCAAGTCAAATATCGGGACGCGGGGGGAGGGTGATGTGTGTGTGTGTGTGTGTGGGGGGGGAAACCACCCTTCCTCCGCAAGCACTGGAGGGAGGCCCGGGAGACTCAGGGGAAGCGCGGGGCCGAGGTGAGTAAGAGTCCGGCCTGGTCCCGAGCAGGCAGGACTCAGTTGGGTGGTAGGGAGAGGAGGGGGCGGCCCGTGGTGCCAGGCGGCAGCTGTTCTCCCCCCCGGGCAGCAGGACTCGGGAGCAGCCGCTGCTGCAGCTCCCACTGCTGCGGGGGAGGAAGCGGCCATGGCGCTTGGCGGCTGCGGCTCTGGCGCCCCGAACCCCCCGAGCCGGGGCCTGCTGCGGGGACCCAGCAG